AAAATACCGCGAAAAATCTTGTATAATTGTGTTAAAAATATGTAGTTTCAGGTCATTAGCTGATAATAAGGAAATCTTCACATAGGATCCCGGGCCTTTCCAAGTTAGATAAGACTTAGGGCCTGTCCTACCAAATTGTAAATTGTTTGATAACTATCAAACGTGTGAAATATGTGATGGAAATATCGGATTTTTGCTACCTTATCTGACAGTGACGTCAGTTTAAAGCTACCTGAGCCTATATGAGTGGTGGGGCAGGCCATAAGTCTTATTAAATCTTGCCTGCCTAGTGCAGATTGCTTGAGTTTTTACATATCTTTGATTGTTTTTACAGTTGCAGCATAAAAAAACCCAAGGAATGTAAACATAAGACCAGGAATTAATAAAAAGGAACAGGCTTTAAACATACTTCATCTGTTAATATTCTTTAACATGCAAACGATTTAGAAAATCAACCGCAAATAAAAAAAATAATGTGTCAACTTTTTACTTTAACGATTAAAGTTTTTTCTTGTTTTTATCCTGAGTTATAGGTTAAGTTACTTCTTAAATAACCGCTATTTCGCAGGTAATTTAATGCTAGTAAGTATTAATTTTAAATTATCACGCTTTGGCGCCTTTTGCTCATAGGTAAGGTATATAATGTAAAAAATAAGCTTTGTAATATATATTCTAAGAAGATCTTCCAAGTCAATACTAATTAAGAAATATTAAATCAATAAGGTATAAAGAAATTAAAAGTTAATTAACCATTGGGTTCGCGACTCGACTTTTATAATCGAAATCTTTGACTTCAATTATATTTCGGCTTAAGTTATTGCAATTTGATCCATTTTAAATTTAAGCGATAATAAGTATCATTCTGACTTCGCAGGGATCACGTCCTGAGGAATTCAATTAAAACAACTCTTCAAGGCTTAACTTTGACAGTTCAGATATCAACAAATGTTGCGATAGGAATCAGATATCTTTAATAACTTTTCCTCATGGTGTATTTAATAATTACTAGCTTTCGCTCGCGGCTCCGTCTGCGTGGCATTAATAAAAACAAAAGTGAGAAGCTTATTTGTTATTCCAGACTATCCTTTACATCTCTACCAAATTTCATCAAAATCCGTTCATTCGTTTTGGCTACTAACCCTAATAAACCATTGTAAACTTTCGCATTTATATTATTAGTAATCAAAGTAAATTAAAAAATCCATAATACTAAAACAGTATTCAAACACACAGATAACAGATTTATTCCTAGACTGCGTGTTACAAAAACTAAAGTTAAGAATATTATGTTGGGACATATAAAAATAATTTAAAATATTAATAAAGTTAAGACGCAAAAGTTATGATGTGTTGGTAAAGGTCATTCCAGATAGAGGTCAAAAAAGTAAATAGTAGTATTATAGGTAGAAACCGACGAGAATTATGATATACTAGTTTTCGCCCGCGAGTCCGTCCGCGTGGTATAAAAAAAAGTAGCCTATATGTTCTTCCAGACTATCCTATACATGTATGCCAAATTACATTGAGATCCGTTCAGCTGTTTATGCTTCAAACTCTAACAAACATTCATCCATCCATTCATCCATCCATCCATCTAAACTTTCACATTTATAATATTAGTATAGTATGATTAGTATGAAGTATGATGAATGCGGTAAGCTCTTGTGTGTACAAGCTTGATTTGTTTTGTATCATTTGTGGTTATAGAAATCCAGTATTTAATGGATTTTTTTTTATAATACGAGGTGGCAAACGAGCAAGCGTGACCTGAATCCACGGAAATGGCTAGCGACCGCTGCCCATAAACATCCGCTATTGTAGAAGCGTTGCCTACCCTAATTGACGGAGGAGGAGACGCACATAAAGAGACACACAAAAGGACATTTCCCCTTCCTATGCATCTCCTTCACCGTCCAATCCACTTTTTCCTCCCATCCTTTCCTCTTAAGAAAAGGGTGGAAAGGAAAAGGGACTAAAATTAGGCCTCCGGCACCACACTCATCAGACGAAACGCGGAGTTGCTTCCACTTCACGCCTGTTTTCTGTGTGGTCGTGGTATTACACCGGGCGAGCCGGCCCATTCGTGCAAAGATGTTAAAGCGGGCTCTACCACTGGTCCGTGATTACCTTATTCACGTAAACTTAGTAAGATTATTAATTATCTCGAATCGCTTTCGTGACTTTAACACATACAGCGGTCTATAATCAATACGTCACTTGGCACGCGAGGTCCGCGTTGCGGTCATAACGTGTCACACTGTGTTATTTGCTAGGCCTTTTTATATTATTCTTAGTATTTGCTAGTCAAGCTTATTTCGTCTTATACCTAAATCTTATCGAACATTCATGTATTAGGCCTAACAGTGGTAGAGCCCGCTTTAACATCTGCACGAATGGGTGGGCTCGCCTGGTGTAATATCACGACCACTCAGAATAAAGGCGTGAAGTGGGAGCAATTCCGCGTTTTATTTGATGAGTGTGGTGGCGGAGGCCCAACTTTAGACTCTTGTCCTTCCCACCCTTTTACTTAAAATAAAAGGATGGGAAGTAAACGTGGATTTGTCGGTGGAGGAGACGCATAGGAAGGGGAAACATCCTGTTTACATGCTCCTCCTTCATCGATTAAGGGTAGGAAACGCATCCGCTATTGCGAATGTCTATGGGCAGCGGTCGCTTTACTATTTCGACGGATTCCGGTGTCCGCTTGCTCATTTACCACCCGATGATATAAAAATGGGTCGTTAAAAACAATTTAAGTAGGTTGAGTTCATGATGTATTCTAGAATTTTCTAGGGTTTAGATTTGATGAGTTTACCTTATTCATATTGAATGACTTTGCTAAATTTCTGACTACTATGAGGGCTTTAAGATGTGACTTTATGATAACTAACGGTCATTAATCAAGACATGTGACGTGACGTGTCATTGTGCTTGGAACTTGCACACTGATGAACAAAGATACACTGCTAAGTATGTTTTCAATGTATTTTTTTAATTACTTGTATTACTGATTTACAATTTTTTTATTAATTTTTTACTGTTTAGGTTAAGTTAGGTTAGACTTTATATTTCAATAATTACCTAGAAAATGTTGGCAGTTTTTCAAACACACAATCGGTTTTTTTCAACCATTTTAATTACTTATTAAGTTATAGTACCATTAAGACGAAGTCTACAAAAATAGCCATGCTACGTTATGTAGCTTTTGTTGATATAGCTAACAAAAGCTGGAGGAACTCCGTCGCATGTCACTCAGTATTAACTCGCGATGGGCTGACCTCTCCTCTGATAAATGACTGCCGCTATTCTGACTCCTAGCTCGAGTTATTTATGAAGGCTCCTATTATCACGTATAACATACGGCTTAAGGACAAAGAAAACAACACATAACGTGTTTCCACTGAACAAACATGTTATATTACTTTTATTATTCCGACAGAACAGAGTAATGTATAAATGTTTCGACAGTAATAGTATGATAGCACAAAAAAAAACAAACAACACTATATTCACTTTATTTAACTTTTTTTAGTAACAATTCCTAGTAAGTATATTATAGGTAAGTTAGTGATTGCTTTTTATAACAAAGATCACAATTATTTCTATAGAAACAGATCAATAAAAATTATTAGAATTATTTATACTGAAAAAAAGTATTCTTATAAGTTACTAGCAGTTGCTTGCGACTTCGTTCATGCAATATTAAGATAATAAAGTAGCCTATAATATGACCGTCTATGACAGCTACCATTCAGTTAAAGTCCGGACGAAATCGGTCCAGCCGTTTCGTTGATTACCCGGAACATACACAGCTTGCGGACAGACACATTTTTAAATGCGATTTTCGTTATCAGCAACGTAAATATATTATTCCCGATATCTGGAATTTTCCTTTTGATATTACAAATAGACACTCCAATTTTATTATATGTATAAAAGATTACTTATGCTTTTGTACATTAATTACGTCCATCGTATTTCAAAGTTTTCTTCCTGGTTTTATAATATTACATTAACTTTAGTACCTATTTAATGTATATTAAAATGCGGTGGTGTCAGGTGAAAAAACATAAAATAAACGCTCATCTATTTTTACATTGTTAATAAGTAACTTGTCATGTTAACAGCCTTCGCACATTTCGGATTTAATCGGCCGATATTTTAGTCGGGTGATATTTAAGTCGGCCGCTTAATCAGTATGAGCTTGTATGTAGGTGCGCACATTACATCAATATCGTTTTATATGAATTTGGTTTGATGGCCTTGCCCGATGATACTCATCCGAAAAAAGTCTGTAGTGTGCAAGGGCTCTTATTAAACTTATATAATCTATTTATTTCTAGTATGTACATCAGGAATGCTATTTACATTTCAGCTTTAATAAGCCGGACTATAAGTAAATTTATTTTTTTATAGTGTTACAATTTATCTGGCCTTGTAATGAAACAGCTACATTCGTGGTAATTTTTGTGCATCAAAGAAAAAATAGTGTAGACACGAAGATATTAAAAAAATACACAGAGGCGGCAAAGTTGACACTTCACTACTACACGTCAATACCAGGACACGAGGTGACACTAATCTTAACAATTATATAGTCTCTTTTAGAGAAAGTGCCGGTGAATGAATTTTGTTCAGTATTCCTTATCTACATTTTTGAATGTCTTTGTATCGCCGCTTCCGTATTAGTCGGCCAGTGGTTACATTTACCGTGTTTGTAGTATTTAAAATAGTTCACTCTGTACGCTTTATCTGCTTATGTGGTCACCTCTTATTAGTAGGCTCCGAAGTCCTCAGTGGGGACGTATAGTTTGCTGGTGATGGTGATGGTATTGCCAAGATTTCAAGTCGACTATCACCTTGTATTTTGACAAAGCTTGCGCTCACCGGGTCAAACAAATTATACCATACATTTCAGGATAATAAATACGGGAACATATCTTTGACTGAACTATCAGACAGTTGTGTGATTGTCGATAGTTTTGCAGCCAATTCAACTGTTTAGTTGCATAACTAAAAATCGAGTAGTGTGCATACCTCGTTATGCGATAGTTTAAAGAAGTGCGCGCGCTCTTATAGTTGAGTTTAATTTGACATCTATATGTATGCCACGTTATCATAAGCCGTATGGTTTGTGTCATTCGATGTGTCAGATGGGGAGTTGTTGAGAGCCCTTCTAGATGGCTTCCAATCTTCTGTTGGAGTAAATAACTCTTTGCCCCTCTGCAATGAAACAAAAAGTCATAATAAAACAAGAAAGTTTGAACGATTGGGTGATGGGATTCTAAGTACCTTTGACAACTTAACAGATCTCGATGAAAAGCAAAGTTAAAACAAAGTGGAAGAACACATAGGTCCATATCCTGTCAGGGTCGCTACATGTTAAAGAATGGGTCCAGGGTAAATTGAAATAACCAGGATATAGTTACGAAGTGAAAATGTAATTCTTTGTCCGTTCCCATTCTTTTTATAATTGACATATAGACAAGGAACATGTCACAAATCGTAAAAAATGTAAATTCATTCGAAAAAATTGTAAGATCTCAACATAGGTTACATTTGTTTTCGCGCAAATATTTTTCAATCGGTATTACGTAATGTAGAAAAAGTGTCATAAAATTGTCATATGCCACACCTTCTGGACTATATCTTATGATAACTCGTGATTATTATGATTAATAAAGTATACATTGATAATGTATTATTATCTCGCATATTTCTGACTAACTAATACGGATTAAAAAAAACACTTCGTAATTCAAGTTGGATTAAGAATTATTATATAGTGATGCACCAATAATTAAAAAAATACCTCAATGATAGATAGATTTTAGTCGTATTAGAGCGCGTATACCTTTAACTAAACTATCGCACTTTGATTCGTATGTACTTATATGGAGGTGGGCATATTTCTCGATATTTAGTTGCATAACTAAACAGTTGAATTGGCTGCGCAATAATCGACAATCAACAGTTATGCGATAGTTTAGTCAAATGTGTGCGTCCGCTCTCAATCAATCTCTGATATGATGAGCAACTTAAAACAGAAATTTTAATTATAATGTTGCATATTTCTTTCCTACCAAAACTAAAAATTAAATAAAAAAAGGAATTAACTTACATATCCCTTGTAAAATGCCCATCCCACACCCACGGGGAACAATATTATCGTTGATATAGCAGTTAACCAGCCGAGAATGTCGGCGAACAATGGGAACACGTAGTCCGCGTAGCTTGGCGGCTTCCAATCGGAGAATATAAAAGCGAGCACCGCCTGCAAAATTTAAATAGCAATCAATTTGCATTATATCTAGTTTCAATCCAAAGTACAACAAAAATAAAATTCTCTATTAACTTCTTGTTAAATTTTAATATTTGAATAATTTTTCATATTTTGATCTAAAGAGACTTTCTTTAACAATCCAATTTTTATTAATAGTATCTAATAAGTAGATATTGAAAATACAAAACTCATATCTTTGGGTTTATTATGTTTTAGAAAAGGCGTCAAGTAGTTTTCTACTATTAATTAAATCGGTCTACAGCAAGCAATTTTATTTCAATTGCCACACGGCGTTATCGTTAGAAACAATTTAATCAAAAAGTTCCATCTTTGTAAGAGACAATTACATTGAATTTCATATGGATTAGCCGTTATCTGTATAGATATAAGGGGCATAACATGTCTGCTTACATGTACAATCGATGTAACGTATGACTGACATAATGCGGTAAGAAGATGAGGACATAAACAAGAAAGTGTTAAGATTGAATATGGAGGCCTACGAAAGAGTAAGCCAGAAGAATGGATTGTGTGAAAGAGGATATGCTTAATGAAGGAATTATGCTTAAGAAAGGAGTAAATTAAAATATAGCTGCTGATACAGATGTATAGAAGAACAGCACATAGAATGCCAACCCTCTGTAGGGTCAAGGGCAAGTTGATGATGTAGTTTGATCGCCGAAATCTATTCTATCCTGTTTCTTATGTACTTTCACAAAACATAATATTAAAGAGCTCATAATACGTAATGGATACTAACAACACTAGCTACTGGTAAGATAACAGTCCATGCGGATTTCCAATAGAACCTCAACACCACGTTGAGTTTCATATTCATTGCCGCTAAATCATTCATCGCACGATTGATGCCGTAACACCACGCCACCGCTGCACTCTGAAATAGACGAAACACTTAGCTTATAACATCTTCCTCATCAGGTGTTTAGCTACCCCTTTTCCCCGATATAATCGGAAAATCTAAAATAAGAATTACTCAAATATTATAGCACTACCTTTCGCCCGCGACTCCGTTCGCGTGAAATTAAAAAAAAAACAAAAGTGATTAGCCTATATGTTCTTCCAGACTATCCTCTACATCTATACCACATTTCAACGAGATCCGTTCAGCCGTTTAGGCTACAGACTCTAACAAACATCCATCCATCCAAACTTTCGCATTCATAATATTAGTAAGATTAATGACAGCTGCCGCTTCTAGATCTGTCATTGGCTGGCAATGCTTATGGCTTGTTATTTAAAAAAGTTTTTGATAAAGTCATTAGTAGGAAAAATATGATGAATTCGTTAACTCTAACTTTAAGCAGGGAAGAAGGGGAGATTAACAAAATAGGTTATACCCTATCCCCTTTCCATTCAATCTGAATCATACAGGAACTAAGCTAAGAAACTCATCCAATATAAAGCAAAATACTTTTACATCATACTGTGGGCGTCGTTTTCGATTGGACAGGTTGTTAGTTCTTTACCTCAGCCATGCCTATGAGCAGAATAGCCCAGGACGCAGTATTCCACTCCAGCAATGTGAACAAATAGACACCACCGCTGAAGCACATCGGGATGCCGAGGATGAAGCAACAAAAGCAAGTCGTTGCTGTCACCTTAAATAAAAAGTTAAAAAACGTTGTAATTAGTCTGCTGTCATCCATACGGGCGATTTTGTTATCGCCCGCTAGAAACAGTTCAAATAGTACAAATTTGTTTCCATATAATTGTTCATATGGCATCGCTTTAAAAAGGTAACTTTATACCGTGCAATGATGCATTTTGAGCCCTATTCGAACGGAACAAGAGTGATTTTTAAGCATTCCTATTATCGAGACAGTTTAAGCAATACCTATGCGAATGACGGCCTAGTGCTAGTATGTATTGCATGCATATAGCTTTGATTCCAAACGAGGTAAATTGTGATTCCGATGTTTATTTTCTACTTATTTGCAGTTATGATGTCACTTGAAGCATTTACTACATTCATATTCCAATAACTTGATAAAATTGGTACATTAGTAATTTATATGTTTACATAAAAAAGCACTCAGTGTTTCTGATATCCTTATCTACTATCGTGTTGGTACACACTCGTAATTAGCTTAGTGGCAATCATAAATCGATTTCTATCTTATAAACTACTGTGTTGAGAAACGTAGCAGATCTTTATCATACGCATTATCGATATCGATCTCCTACGTAGACTATCGTAAACCATTTTACGATTTACATCTTGTTTTTAAATTAAATATGTATAAATACTAATCATAGTAATGATAGAAAGAATATTATTTGTTGATTATGTTTTGTTTTCTATATTATAAGGTGGCAAACGAGCAAGTGGCCACCTGAATTCGCCGAATGGCGAAGCGACCGATGCCCATAGACATCCGCAATCCCATATACCATTAATCTACAGAAGAGGAGACACATATAAACAGGATATGTCTCCTTCCTATGCATCTCCAGTTTTTCTTCCCATCCTTGCATCTTAAGCAAAGGGTGGAAAGAAAAAGGGACTAAAATAGGGCCTCCGACACCACACTCTTCAAACTAAACGCGGAATTGCTCCCACTTCACGCCTATTTTCTGTGTGGTCCTGGTATTCCGCCAGGCAAGCCGGCCCATTGTTGCGAAGATGTTAAAGCGGGATCTACCACTGTTCATTTGTAAAGTTGATCAAACATACGATATTTTACCTAAGGCTTTGATAATATCTCATATGCCTGTATCAAGCTTAAGCGTAAAATATGTGCACAAAATACAAATATAATTTACAATATAACTCACCATCCAATATCTCTTTCTGAGCTGTGGCCACTGATCAACGATCGCTGTATTGATAGCTTCTATACCGGCGAACTGACTGCCAAGGCCGAGTATGAATAACATCAGGAAGAATAATATTGACCAAAACTGTGGTATGGGCATTTGCAGTAATGCTTCAGGATACGCAACGAATGCTAAGCCAGGCCCTTGTTCTGCTACATCTGTAGATTTATTTGAAATTGAAATGGTGTAAGAAGATACATCTAAAAATTTTATATTTAACATCAATAACAAATCCATCGGCTACCACTATACTCAATAGTAAATTTTGCTTGCAACTTTATTCGCGGGGAATTAAAATCTAGTAAAAAATGTAATTTGTTTTATATTTTAGTGTTATTGCAAATGCGAAGGTTTAGTTGGATGGATAGATGTTTGTTAGAGTTTGTAGCTCAAACTGCTGAACGGATCGTGACGAAATTTGGTATGAATGTATAGGTAAGTCTGTAAGAACACATAGGTCAATTCCACGCGGAAGCGAATCTAGTAAGAATATAGTTAGATATTTGTAGGGAAGGTAAGGAAAATGGTGACATGATTAAAAAGCGAGTAAAAATGACGCACAATAGATAGATTTGGTGAACTAAATTAGTTCGATGTTCCTTCACGATTGGGATAAGGTCATGATGATATTATCAGCGTAATTTAGGACTGTAAAGGATATTTAAAAAGTTATGACTAACATGTTTTCATAACTAGTATATGTAGAGATTAAGGGCACCGTCAATATTGTATTTTATCAGGCGATAACTCTGCATTATGACAGAGTATTAAAGCCAAGTTCGTCAATAGCAATATCATGTGCGTAGTGACCAATAACTAGATAAACTTTATTGGAATAACAGGATACCGGGAATGATGGACGGTAAACAGTTTATTTCACTTATTTATAATTATAGAAGTCTAGCTATCGCCCCAGACTCCTTCCGCGTGGGATTTAAAGACAAAGCTGAGTAGCCACACTATCCTCTACGTCTATGCCACATTTGATCGAAATCCGTTCAGCCGTTTAGGCTACAAACTCTAACAAACATCCATCTAAACTTTCGCATTTATAATATTAGTAAATATAAGTATGATTAGAAAATAATAAACAACGCTTCCTTAGGTGGACTTTACATATATCTTTTAATTTCTTTTCCGATTTGTGCACATTTACTGTAATTTCTACTGATCCTGCGCTTTTATTTAATTACTTTCTACCGTAATCAAAATTGTTAAGTTGTATGTTTGTGTAAGAATCTCATACTCAGAGATGTAACATTTCTCTGTAACTGTAAATATATGTCAAAGGAGCGACGAGAGCGGCAAAAGCCGCCTAAAAAAATCTACGAGTGTAGCTGGTAGAGTTCATTTTTTTCCTTCATGATTACTAATCATAAAGGTTATCCATATTTCCGTAAGCTAACAATAAATTACATCTGTACCAATAAAGCCTGCTTTTGTGTACCGTTAATCCAATTCATTATCTGTTGTCTGAAATTCAAAACTGTTGTGTTGCGCTGCTCCGGTATGAAATCAACAAAGGATACTGCGATCGCGGATCAATCGACGATTGTGTACAAAACAATACGTTCATCTACATATACAGGATGTTCTGATACTTTATGCGGATTACTTTTTTTTAACAAATATGGGTGATTTTTTTTTCTCAAAATGGCACATGTTATGGGCATTTAATAAAGGAAATCTCGCATAATTAAGTTGGATAGGTAAACACTATTCTAATAGCTTATTGATCACATTTAGAAATACAAAGCAATACTGTCTTTAAAATATTCATAGTTGATGGACATTTAAACATGTACGAAAATTAAAAAAAACTCCAAGACATTGTTAAATGGCAGTTCCAAGTTTTCATGAGAAGGGTATCACTAAAAGAGACTAGATAAACTAAATATTTTAAATGAACAGTATCAAATTACAATATTGAAATATTCATGTGAAAATAGACTTTAATTAAAATAGAATGAATCTATCATATCAATTATCAAACTAAAATATCAAAACATACAGACGAATTGAGTACTTCTTTTGGGAAGTCGGTCAAAAATGAAAGAAAAACATAAAAATGAACACGCTTTATTCTGTTCAACAGATACTCTCAACATGTTTGCTTAAGCCCACGGTTGTATGCAATTTACTTCGATTAATTAACTTGTACAAATCAACACCGTGCAGTACGGTAACGGTACGGTATATTTCATTCGAATAAACACTCGAATGAAATGTACCAATCGGAAGCTTATGGAAGAAAAACATTATCAAGAAAGCAAATATACGATTACGTTTTACGCTACGCTTATTAATTACTAGCGTATTTATGTTACATATGCTATTAAATCTGTTTAAAGGCAATCTGTTTAAAGTATGTAAGAGGTCAAAAATATTATGTTTAATTTACACTATCAAGTTTTCTCTGGCTACTACATCAAGGGACATTATGATTCTTTATGTATGAAGGGAAATAAATCTGTACTTCTATACTAATATTATAACGAGAAAAGATTTGTATTTTTGGATTTACGTGTGTTGAAAGAAATAACTCAAACACTACAGGACCGATTTCCTTGCACCATTGAAAAGCTGTGTTGTCACTGAGTAACGTAGGCTATATTTTTAATTTGACGCAGGTGAAGTCGCGAGGAACAGCTAGTTATAAATAAAAAAGACTTACCATCAATTTGGACTCCCATCAATTCAGCTTGAAATCCGAGCACAGAGAATATAGCGAAGCCCGCGTACACAGAAGTAAAGAAATTTGCAAAACAAACGAACACCGTATCAAAATGACAATTGTTATAAAAGCCATTATACGACGCCAACGTGATTAGAGATCCACAAGCCACACCAAAGGAATAAAAGATCTGTACAGGAGAAAAGTAAAAACAAATATCAGAGAGTATCAAAAACTTTAAATTATAGTTACCAAAGTAAATTTACAATTAATTGCTCAATTTAAGAAAATCTTTAGCTATTAAAAAGTGATCCAAACTCAACTAAAGATTAATTGGTAGAAAATGAAACCTATATAAGTTTTTACAAAACCGTTATCCAAAAAAATAAGTTCATTTACTCTTAACTATTCTATTCCAAAGATTTATGCTTATTAGGAAAGTTTTGAAGTTATTACTTCGAATTGCACAATCAACAAATAAGATTAAAAAAAAAATGCAGACTTCAATTAATGCAAAAATAATCTTTATTTAAAGAAATAAAGATACTGATAAAGAATTTTAATTTGGTTAGCAAATTAATAAAGTGTCAAGTTTCTTTAATATCTTGATAAAAGTACCTGTGAGGCAGCATCTCCCCACACTCTTGCGTCTAAAAGAGTGCTCCAATCCGGCGTCAAATAGAACAAAATCCCCTCTTTTGCTCCTTCCAATGTCACTCCTCTAACAAGAAGGGCAGTTAACATCACGTACGGGAACAACGCTGTGAAGTAAACCACTTTACCCGCTGACTGAACACCCTGTATGAAAATAAAAAAAAATGTTTAACTAATATTCTCTGTACTATTAACTTTTAGGGAAACTCGTGTTAATTCTGGTTGTTCAAATGGTTACGCTTAATGTCGATGAACCATAAATGATTTGTTCTCAATAAAATTCCTCTTTATTACCAGTGTTGCGGTCTAATTTAAAAATGGAGACTTCGTAATGTACCTGGAAATCGAATTGACTAGTGCTAGCTGACTACGTCAAATGTGGCGAAACGTTAAAAATTCATCTAAACAAAATAGATGTTGTATCTCAATAGGTTTATTTTTCAATAGCAACTTACTTTAATAACGCAGAGGAATGCCACAAACCAGGCGAGGGCAAGACATCCGACAAGATGCCATTGAATCGTGCCCCAGCTTTGCCAAGTTGCGTCGCCGCGGCCCAATACGCGTTGTCTGGAAATACATTGCTGTTCAGTATAGTATTATAAGCTAGTATAACATAGAAGAAAATCTAAAAGAAACTTGGTCTTTAACCACGTACATATTGATATGTGGTTGGCAGCAAATGACAGTATGAAGAGAGTATGAGTAAATGAAAAAATGGAGAATAAAATCTTGAGAATCAAGATTTTGCGATTGCTATGCATCAGTTAAATTTGATTCAGATCGTTAAAATACAAATAGTTAAGAAGGATGAGCAATGTTTGGATAGCATGTTCACTTCGGCCGATAGACATTTGGTATTTGATTTCTTACGTCACAAATCATGTCCATCGCATGATTCCAACAATTTTCACGCGTCCATGGTGCGATGATAATAATTCCCTATCTCTATCTATCTATATTTATAATTCCGTTAGGTACTAAATATTTAAATACATTACTTACATTACTGAAATACATAACTAAAAATACATTTTATCTTGAATTTTATGACATCATTTATAAGTTGAGATTTATAATATTATCGGCCAAGTGTTGGTTTATATTAAATTAGATTAAATATTGGAGTTTGTATGGGTAATATCTTATCTTACTTTTTACTAATAATTTAAATTAATGACAAAAGACAATCACGTAACAAGAACTGAACAGATGAAATTTCTCTGACAATAGGCAGATGCCATTAAAAATTACAACTACAAGTAAAAAGTCATAGACAACTTATTGTTAATATTGACGACATTTAATAACTAAATTCGATTTCCAGCGTCTCTTCAAATTTTTGTTTGAAACAAATAAAGTAGTACCAAATATTGACTTGGTAATTTTATCAATCTTTAAGTTTACAAATGTATTTATACCTAGTTGAAAAGCTATCATAAATATTTTTAATATAAACAGGTAAGGTTTATGTTTTTGTATAATAATAAAAAACAGTATTCCAATTTCAACATTCTTTCACTTCTAAAAGCTACATTATCACTTAGTGTCATAGGTAATTATTATAACTTAAGACACGAGTAAGGTAGTCAAAAATAACAGAAAATACTTACGTATAATATTCCTCAGCTGCAATAGTTCTCCTCACATTGCTGTACCAAGGTATTGTTTCTGTACCGTTCAAACAATATTTACCGTCATAAGGTTCAAAGCCAGTGCGCAAACAAATCTCTCCAATGCTTACACAACGCCTTAAATAATAAGTAAGATCTGTTGCAATTCCTGTATTGTTAACTCTGCATTGAGCATCGTAAAATCCACTGTAACAAACTGACAAATAAACTTTATTCATAACTAGCTGTTGCCCGCGGCTTTGTTCATGCAATGTTAAGATACAAAAGTAGCCTATAATATGCCCCTCTATGTCAGCTACTCTCCAGTGAAAGTCTCATTAAAATCAGCTCAGCCGTTTTGGAGATTACCCGGAACAAATACGGCTTGCGGACAGACAGACAGACAAAAATTTAAATGCGATTTTCGTTATCAGCAAACGCAAATACATCTTCCCGAAATCTGGGATTTTTCTTTTGATATTATTAACAGACACTCCAATTTTATTATATGTATAGATTAACAATATAAACGCATAACTTAGAGAATATTACTTATAGGATTTCTAAATGAATTTTAATTGTTATAGCTCTTATATGCAAATATTTTCTTATCTCAACCGCTATAGAAAATGTATAAAAATCTCACGCTCATTGTACACCGTATTATATATATTGTAATTGTATTTAACTTACAATCTGTATTAAATTCATTCTCGCACGATCCCCAATCAAGATTGCCGGCTATCGAGACTATTGTGTAGAACAACGTCCACGCTACAATGATCATATAGTAAATACTGATCAAACTAATCACCACCAACGTGCAGTAACCGAGACCACTGAAGACGGGCCCGATAGCGGCGAACGCCTTCAAAGGTCCCAGACTTGTGTATTGTCCAATGTATAATTCCAAGAAAAACAATGGCAGGCCAATCAGGATCATCATCAATAAAAACGGAATCAAAAACGCACCTGAAACAAGAGTATTGTTAGCTATATTTGTAAGCACGTTCCAATGTATAAATAATACGCAATTTTAAGTCGTTTGAGTATTAGTCATGATGTTTAAAATGTTAACATTTAAGACTTACCCCCGCCATTTCTGTATGCAAGATAAGGAAAACGCCAGACATTGCCTAAGCCGACTGCATATCCCAAACAAGCTAAGATAAATTCAAGCGGGCGGCCCCACGCTGCTTTCTCCGGTGTCCCTGATGATGAGTGCGCCTGAACTGGTATCTTACCATTAGCCTCGCTCTAGAATAATAAAGAAATTTAAACTGCTAGTTCCATGACTTCCATAGACTAGATCTAGGTACAAATTCAATACAATTTTTAAATGTTATATCGATTTTGAAGACTCACCATATCATGGGTGCGAATAATACAAGTTAAAATTAACCAAAGATGCAACAAATGTCTTGCAAATGCAAAGAGATATATCTTCTAATGACGTTTTTGCGATTTCCTATTTATTTATAGAACTAACAGCCGTTTTCACACAATAAATATAAAAGAAATATACCCTCAAAGATACGAACAAAAACGTTTAATTTGTTAAACGTTTTTATTTTACCTTGCGAAAACCAAGCTATAACAAAAACCGAAAAAAAAACAAATTTAAATAAATTGCAAAACTAGTTTAATATTTTGATAAAACCATAAAAAACTAATTGGCTTGTATATAAATTAGCTGTTGTTAGAATCCGCGAAATAATTTAAAGGCATTTTTTTTTCCAGTTGCATAAACATTATAATGACATATCTAATCCCTTAATCATTAATGAATTAGATAAAAACTACGCTACTTATATGCTTAATATGATGCATGATAACTTATTTAAATAAAACATATGCATGATATTATTAATTAAGCAAATAGAATCAAACGTGGAATATAAAATAACGAAGTAACCATTAATATATTTGTAATTTAAACTTACCGGATTCATAGAGTAATCTCCACCAGCCATTTTCGGAAGCTGTTTTCAGAGTCGTCGTATTGTGACGGAAGTCTTTTCTTGTACAACATATGCAAAGGATATGCAAACAATTTTGCAACCATGCGAACGTCTAATAATCCGCCACCGATCAACGCACGACTCTAACTGCCGAAATATTGATAAAAAATCTTCATTAAATCTTATCTTAGTGATAACATTAACGATAACGGACAAATTATTAGTAATAATGCAACGGAAAATTGAAAATTTACAAATTCTAAATGTTCGTTATCACTAATTTATTTTATTATATTTTGTTGCTAATTGTTTTGTTAATCCGCATAAGTCACTCGATAAACGAATTTGACGTACAGTCGAAGAAATAATTTGCCTACCCACTTTAAATTGAATATCTATAAACTGTATAAAACGAGCTATGATTTTCTACTCAATTGCGTTATAAACGTCATTTACAGATATGGGTATGATATAAACGTCCCCGACTGTAACTGTAAGTGTAAATGTCACAACATCGTGTGCAAAATCGTAAGCAATCTGGCGTGACCGATATCAGATCGATAATCTGATGATTATGCCACAGCACTTGCTTTACGACATTACAGCACATCAATGAATTCCATTCAATTTACATCTTGTTATTTATCGATAACACTTATCTTTCGATTCAATCTGAGTTTAAAATACTATCAAGAGCGTACACACTCCAAAGTCACAGTGTAGTTACAGTATTAAGTGATCGTGATACACATATCTGTGAAGAAATTCAAAGATATGTGTGAAGTAGTCGCTTGCTCGTCTGCCAAGAAATGACGTAGAAAAAAACCGCGCTACAGCTTATAATCGCCTAGCCACCATAAATGTAAGGCCACAAGCCACTCAGTAGGGACTCAGTGAGCTGGTGATGAAGATGATAATATGACTGTAATAAAGCCATGATGATCTTTTGTTTTATTCTAGAGACATCTGTTGGAATCAGGCTTTGTACAATTATACCTTGCTTTATTACTTAAAGAATCAAATCGCTTTATCTTATGTTAGACGATTTACTATTTGTTTTTCATCGAGATAATCTGAACTCAAAACTAAATAATAAAGAAAACATAGAAAATAATAAACAACTAGACTACTGCCTAAAAATAAATATCGGGAAAGATAGAATAGAAGTCAAAATGGACAAAACGTGCTACAAGAGAAACCAGGCGTGGTAATGATGATTGTACTTAATATTATCTTCGCTGAATTATTTCGCGATAGCAATAAATACCGTACTAAGTACTTAGGACACTAACCCGTTTTTATCAAATTAAACCTATCAGAGAGCGTCTCCACGTTTCATAATAATTTAAATTCTGCTGAACCTAAGTAAAGTTTCTATCCGTTACAAATGTAGGTACTGACAGCTTTAAACTCCAAAAAATGTTGCCACTGTCTTCGATCAATTGTAGTTTTGAGTATTCAAAAATCAAACTACCAATATGTAGTGATCTCTATTTATTTATTTATTATCAGTTTTTTTTTGCTAACAATACTTGTGCCATACACGTGACTGATTAGGTTCCAAATTCAAAAGTCTATACTTCATTTGTTATACACACAGGGAATCCCCGCATACGGGCTAACGTTTTTGTTTTATAATAAAATAGGGCAAACGAACGGCGAGAACACCGAGGTGGTCAACGACGCCCATGGACATCCGCAACACCAGAGAAACTACAGATTCGTTCCTTTGAGGAAATGATAGACTCGCTTCTTGAAAGACACTAAGTCGTACTGGTTTGGAAATACCGTCGAGGAAAGACCGTTCCAGCGGCTTTGCGAGACAGAAAGTTCCGCTAAAACCCACCGGTTGTGGAATGCCAGCCATCGAGTTGGTGAGGATTGTCGTGTCGTCGATGATGACAAATGAAAATAATGATATGATTAATGTGCAGATAGATGACAAGTAAATTGCTGTGTAAGAAGTAAAGAATATCGACGAATGAAATCGGTTCTCGATATTCGCGCGGTCCTCCCGATTCTTATGATAGCTCATCATCATGTAATGCATCCTTAACATGAATTTTGAAATAAAAGCAAGTTAAACAGGAACTACCGCGAATCCAGGAACTCATGTATTATCTATAGCAAAGAATTTAGTTATCTTATCTATAACAAGATATAGTATACATCCAATCTTAAAGTTATGAAATATAAAGAGATAAACGTAATAAAAAGCCACGATCTTTTAAAGAGGTCAAGAATTCCTCGTTCTACATCTCTTAAGTGGAATGCAACAGTGGTAGAGTCCGCTTTAACATCTTCGCACGAATGGGCCGGCTCGCCTGGTGTAATACCACGACCACACAGAAAACGGGCGTGAAGTGGAACTAATTCCGCGTTATGTCTGATGACTGTGGTGCCGGAGGCCTAATTTAGTCCCTTTCCCTTTCCACCCATTTCTTAAGAGGAAAGAATGGGAAGGAAAAGTGGATTTGACGGTGGAAGGGACGCATAGGAATTAAAAATGTCCTCTTTATGTGCATCTCTTCCTCCGTCAATTAAGGGAAGGCAACGCACCTGCAATTGCGGATGTTTATGGGCAGCGGTCGCTTTCCATTTTGGTGGATTCAGGTGGCCGATTGCTCGTTTGCCACCTTTTATTATTAAAAAATGCAATAGTTTTCCGATAGATTAAATTGATTCATTATTTTTTTCGTTTTTAATTAGTGACATTTTATTTACGTGATATAAGTAATGTACAATATTATTACGTGTTTTGATTAACATCTGTAAAGATATCGGTTTACAGCAATTAATTAAATGTCAAGATTTCCTGGAGTGATAAAAATGAAGCATGTGATATGGTAAATGATTTGGCAATTAGCAACGAACTTTCATATATTCAAGTTCATATATTTTCAATGGAATGCAAGCCAGGTGTGAAAATTAATGATTCACCTCTATCTATCTATCTATCTATCTATACTTATAATAAAGCGTAAATACACACTTCTATGTTGCCTAAAATGTCAGCAATTACAGCATGTTTTTGGATAACTCTTTTTGACCGACTTCCCAAAAGAAGGAGGTATTCAATTCGTCGGTATATTTTTTTTTTTTTTTTATGTGTGTTA